CCTGAATGAAGCCTGAAAGATTTGTCCTAGTGTTTTATTTGAAATATTTACGATACCTTGTTTTGCCATCTGCCTCAAACTTTGATTCTTGATTCCACTTTAGTATCTTTTCCCCAGTCAGCCAAAAACGAAGGAAGGGAAAATTTAACTCTGAAAGCAAAAAAAAAAAAAAAAAAAGGTTCTGCTGCATTTCATTTCCTACAGGTGTTACAGTAACCAGACAAGAGGATCCTACTTGGTTTATTTAGACTAGAGATTCATAGGCAGGTTGTTCAATTATAATAACTAGGCTGATAGAACTACAATTACGGTAATTAGAACAAGGCGAGTTGTTCTTTTAGCTTGTGCTGAACTGGTTGAGTTAAAGCATGTCACCTTATTCTACACAAAATCTTCAAGGTTAAAGGAATTTGTAGCATGTACGTGAATAGGAGAACCAGGTGTTGAGAAGACGTACAAGTCCACTAAAGTCGGTGAGAGTTTTACAACCGATTTCAATAGAGTTGGGCTTACCCTTGATCTTCCTGATTCCTATGCTTTAGAACATATTTTATAAACCAGCTTAATAGGAAAGTGCTTGAAAAGTTAATACCATTGCATCCAGTTATGTATAGTTCCCAACAGAGATATGTTAAAAATAATGGACATTATCACACCTGTTCATTGGAGGCTTTAAGAATTGAATGGCTAGATGTACACCTTGCCGGGGTCGTTTGACCCCAGTACCCTTTCCTGCCATGGCAGGGGGTCGGACTCGATGAACTGGTCAGGTCCCTTCCGACCCTAGAAACTATGAAACTATGAATACTAGTCGAATACTGGAACAAGAGGGCACCCACTGAAATTTTCAGGAAACAGGCTTAAAACTAATAAAACTACTTTTTTCCACAGCGTATGGTTAACTTGTTCAAAAAGGGACGAGGCAAATTCGTGGATGATGGATCCATTAATAGCTATTAAACATAGTAGTCAGAGCTGTATTCTCTAGCATCTTTAAAACAATGATGGCAGATGTCAAGGAGGTATGACGGGACAGTGCACTCTATATATTCCCTATTCATATGCTCTCCTTTTAAAATCCATTCTTGCCACTGTTGGGCTAGATGGACCATTGGTCCGACCCAGCGTGGCACTTCTTACGTGCTTTTGTATTGAACAGGAGAGTAATAACACGCTTACATGGGATTCCCAAGTGTTCATGCATATTGATAGGCAAACTCTATATAGGAATTGCTTAGGCAAGCATTGAACTGCGGCCATCTCTGAGGTAAAAAGTAACATCTACATAATCACATAAGCCAAAATAACAGAATACCACAAGTGAAGGACAATACTCTGTCCAGTTAAGTGTTTTAGATAGGCAGAACAAGTGAGTTTCCTTGAGTTGCATGTCAGCTGGGATATAGGGGCAGATTGCCAAGTGATCAAAACCTTGGTTTAATTTCTCATCCAAAAGGTGAATGTGTTCAGATGTCCCCTATCTTAGGAGACAAAGTACTGTGTGTCCCATGTTGAAGAAACTGCATAGACTACAGTTCTTTCACTCTGTGGAGTAGGTGCATGGTAGCAAGGGAAGGAGTCCTTGTAATGGAAATGTTTGATACCCAGACACTGAGCAGCCTGACTTTTTAGCATGTCTTAAGCAAAAAGGCAGGGTTTGCTCCAAGACAGAGTGCGAGAACAAAGGGCTGAAAGAAAGGAGTGGAAATTTTTTCTAATAACTTCGATTAAGTAGAATGAAGCAGCAACTATTTTGAATCAGTCTAGTGGGCTTGCCACTTTTATAGTGTTGCAGGTAGGCTGGTTATAAAACATCAGTAGTATGTAGGAGCCCTAATCTGGTGCCGGGACTCCATGTATCAACACAGAGTAACTACCTTGATCTAGTGCCTATATCAGTGGTTTTCAACCTGTGATCCACAGACCCCTGGGGGTCTGCAGACTCTGTCTAATATGAGTATGATCGATCCAAAGTATGTGAATAGCCAGACTTATTAAAGAGGACCTCACCTCCATTCAAAATTTCCAGAGGCGTCCGCACATCCATTCAAAAATGTTTAGGGATCCACAAATGAAAAAAAGGTTGAAAACCACTGGCCTATACTAATGATCAGACAGAGGTCTGGGGACAGTTTCTGCTTCTGTTGCTCTTGCATATTCCAGGCAGATTAGGACCCTCCAGGTTTTTTTCTCCCAGTGGTATTTTTCTGCATGTGCCTTATTGCATTGCCAGCGCAGGACTGTTTGTCAAGTACAAGCATGCAAAATGTAATCATTATAGTTGGTTTCATCCTCACCATCTGAACCAGCTCTTCAAGGAGGATCCTTTAAAAATATTCATCAAGTTGCTTGATGTATATGTACCGCTGTGCTGACCCTTCCTCTGAAAAGATAATCAGTAGTGACAGATCATGACAGAGCAAAATAATAAATTCTTACCCAGAGGTGAAGCAAACATAGCAAGCAGTACCACAGTAGCAATTATTTCTGGCTGGCTTTTCTTCTCATAGAGGTCGGACGTGAAGGCAGATGAGATGAAAAGGACCACCTCCTCTGAAACGCAGCTCAGCTACCCTCTGGTGGACTCTGGTCCCGGCATAGCTGGTTGCTAAGCTCATAAAGTATATTTTAAAATTCCTGGGTTTTTCCCAGCTCTATCATTTTTCACCTTCCTAAGCACCAAAATATGTAAATTGAAAAGGCTGCATTAGGGAATGTAAATATTTATGAGCACAATGGAACAGTGCTTTAACTTCCTTGATGCATCAGTTTGTCAAGTGCTGCTATGCTCCGAGGTTGTAAGTTATCACTGGAGGAAGTGTTAGGTCTCTGATAATACCTCCGAATAGTCCCTTTCAGGAGCTTGATTACCAGGTTTAGGTTTATTTATAACTCACGCCAGAAAACGTACATGAGAGGAGCATATTGGCACAACTGGAGCTGTTTAAGACTCTAACAGAGCCGAGTCTAGTGGTTCAAATGATGAGTTAAAGAGAAGTCAGGATTGCTGTCTTCTGTTCTTGGCAGAGCAACTCTGAGTGGCATGTCACTTCCAGCAAATCCTTTTCATCTCTCTGCCTTGAAGTTTTCCCACCCTTAAATATGTGTGTGGTGGGAAACGACTCTTAAGAAGCCTGGTTATTGTTTATGAGGAATTTCTTTTCAGATCCAAAATGACACAAGTAACAACATCTACAGTTAAGATTAGGTGACAGTTTACATCGCAAGTGCCTCTGTTCAGTTCCTTCCAACATTGGCAAACTACAACTGTTTGCACTGAAAGTGTCCTTTGCAGGTGTTTGCCTAACACTGAAATGTTAAGAGATTCAGCTACAATGGCTCAGCTCTGTTCTCCCCTAAGAACAAGGTGAGGGGAAAAATAGGTATATCTGTTTCACTGAGAAGCTCTAGCCTCTTCATGCTTTGCAGCAGGGGTTTGAAATGTGTCATGGCATTCACTTTGGTGCCAGGGAGGTTAGTTTTGTCATCCCCAAAGAATTTTGCTCCAATTTTAACAATAAGTGTCAAAAAAAATCTCATTTCATGAGCATGCAGCTGGGGGCTTAGTACAATGTGGGTGCATCTACACATGAATTTACTGTGCAGTAACATACTGTGCAATAACTTACTGCACAGTAAGTGGTTTTTAGGCTGGTGTCTACACATGCGGCCATTTAAGTGCAATAACACTGCGTGTGGACTAATGTGGGACTAAAGTAAGTCCCACGTCAGTCCATACACAGTGTTACTGCGCAGTAAGGCATCTACATATGCATTATTGCGCAGTAACTAATTGGGTGTAAATTTGATAGCTGCATGATGCAGGTATCAAATTTATGCCCAAGTTGGTGTAAGTTGCCACAGTTTTTGCACACTGTGGGTGTGCACGTGTAGACGCAAGCCTGCACTGTGCAGTAATTTTTGGTTACTGTGCAGTAACCTAAATTACTGTGCAGTAAATGTGCACATGTAGACACAGCCTGTATCAGGTAAGCTGCTGAAGCTTCCCTCTCTATTGACTGTCCTCCAGCCACAAAGTGAAAAGGGACAGGGAGCACATTTCCTTGAAATAGTTCTTCCTCTCTGTCATAGCGTTCTTTAGAGCTGGGCGCTGGGACTGAAACCTGGAGACAGTTTCTTCTTGGCTCTCTGAACTCCTCAGGTTGGAAGCAAGCAGGCTGGACAGCAGATAAACGGGTCGGGGTGGGGAAGAGATTTAAGAGGTGGACAGGCAAGAGCTTGTTGGAGAGATTAGGTGCCAGGAATGGAGAGAAGGGCAATAGCAAAGTGAGGTACAAGATGAAAGAGGAGGAGAAAGGGATGGTAGGAGCAGGTTTGGGGGAGAGGGTAGGAGCTGGAGATGGAGAAAGTTAGGAGTAGTGTCAGTGGGATGTTGCCAAGGCATAGGGCAGAGAGAGGAACAGAGGAAAGTCTCAAGGCAGGAGCTAAGGAAGGAGGGGACAGGGTTAAAATCACAAACTGGGGAGAGTGGAGCAAGATGCCAGGAGGAATGAGGGTGGGAGATGACTGGGAAAATCCAGGCAATGGAGCAGCAGGGGGGACAATGAGGTTTCCTGTCTTTAAAAAGCATCCTGGAGACAACGATTAGCAGCAGCAGGAATGCAGCAAACCAGAGACTATGGAGCAAAGCTGTGTTCATGTTTTGCTTGGCTTGGCGCCTCCAGATTAACAGGCTGCTGCAGCTCTGAATTGCTTGAGCTTTCTTCGGCTGGGATCCCACTGCAAACATTTTTTTAAAATGCCCCATCCCATCCCACACATACTTAATCCAGAGAGAGAGAGAGAGATGTTCCTTGGCCTCCATGAATAACCCTATAAATTGTGTAGGTTATTTTATAATTGATGGCCACTAAGTGGGCTCTTTTGAAAACTTCCACATAAGCTTTTAAAAAGACATAAGTGTCTGATTAATTACAACTTGGCTACCATTTCCTATCTGTTCAAGCATGATTTAACACCTCCCGTTTGCTCTTCCCCAGGCCTTGCAGGAGGAGATTAACATTTCCGGCAGTAAAATAAAGCTGAGCTACCTGAGCAGTCGCACAGCTGGCTACAAATCGGTCTTGAGGATCAGCATGACACATCCCACCATCCCCTTCAACCTCATGAAAGTCCACCTCATGGTGGCCGTTGAGGGACGCCTCTTCAGGAAATGGTTTGCTGCTGCCCCGGACCTTTCCTACTACTTCATTTGGGACAAGACAGATGTGTACAGTCAGAAGGTGTATGGGTTGTCGGAGGCCTTCGGTAAGCTGAGCTCAGAACACAGCCCTCCCTGGCCTGTGGCAGCAGTTACACTACCCTTATCCTAGATCATCCCTGTCTTACATTTTCTTCCCATCACTGCCCTTTCCAAAACACCGGCACAAAGCAAGCAGGGTGGGTCAGATTCTCCACCACCAGTGCCTTGGTTAGTTCTTTCCACCATTGCATGTTTTCTGGACCAAATCAACAGCATCCATGGGTAAGAGCCAGCAAGATCTGGGTAGTACGCCTGGTTCTGCAGCCTGAGCAGCTACAGGAGAGGAAAGCATCCCCTTCACTGCATGCTTAATATTCAGGTTGTAATGCACCTCCTTCCTCTTCTAACACCCCAAACCTGAATCGACCCATGTGCTGATGTGAGAAATGACATCAGAAATGAAGGAAGGCTGAGAATCCTTGGTGACTCCACAGAATCGGAGTTCTGTCCAATTAAGTTATGTCCAATTAAGACACGCCTGGATGATGCTTCTCTTGCTGGGGTGATCTGACCCCCGCTGACTTCCTCCCCCTTGAGCAGGGGGCTGGACCCAAGGATCTTGCAAGGTCCCTTCCAGCCCTAATGTCTATGAAATCTATGTCTTGATTGCTCCCCAACTGCTTGACAGTCAGCTACAGGGATCATGAAAGGGGGCTTGGCCTTGATCTCACAGCTCTGTGACACAACTCAGCTGGAGAGACAAGATCAGGCCTTTTGGGGTGCTGAGACAGTGGCAGCAGCAAGATGAGGAAGCCTACCCATAAGGTCACTCTGCTCTTTCCCCATGGTTGCTACTGAATCAGCCCTTGGGTCACTGCAACCCTACTAGAGCCCTCCATTCACCCTTATGGCCTGAGTGGAGATATGCCTCTCAGAAGGAGACTGGGGGGCTTCTTGCCTGATTCCTGCCAGAAGAGATAGTGGATCCCTTACTTCCATGGACAGAGATGCCTCAGGACAGGACAGGTAACATTAACTCCTGGCACCTTCTAGCACTACATAAAGCAGAATCAAGATAGGGCACAGATTCTTGCACAGAAAAAAATATCAGCCTAGTGTGTTTTTGGGGGCCTGATTTCACAGAGGGCTCAGCCTCTCTCCCAGTTTCCTACCCTCCGTTAGTTCCTGCTATGTTGCCCAGGCCTCCCCATCTGGGTTTCTGCGGTGAACCTGGAGGCATACTCTCAAAACAGCCTGCAGAAGGTTTTTGCTCAAATGCAAGGAAGTTATTTTTGGCAGCTCCTTGCTGGATACCCTTCACTTTGTGCCTTCCCTGTGGTTTTTTGCATTATTCAACAAACCTCTGAAGGCAAACGGTGGTTTAAAATTCCACCTCACTGGCCAACTGCATGAATAGATTGTAGAATGACAAATACTTTTTTTTTTCAACAAAAGAACTGAAAAGAGAATTGTACCAGTAAAGCCCTTTTTGATTATTCAGCTCCACTCCCTGCTAAGGCAAGATTGTTCCCAGTTCAGCACATTCCTCCTTTACCTTTCTGATCCAGCAAGTGTCTAATGCGTCCTGATGAGGCCTGGGTTTCTACTGTACTCAGAGCTTCTTGTGAGCTGCTTGGCAGCTTGCAAAATCAAATTCCTCTTTTACCTGCTAAATATTAAGCTCTGCCTGGTGAACAATGTGACACTGAAGATCCCTGCTGTCTATCAGATGTTAGTGTGAAATCAGGTGTGGCCGGCGAACTTTGACCTTCGGTCTTGCTGCCTTTGAGGAAAGCCCAAGGAGTACCTTTCCCATATGAAGACTTTGGCTAGATGTTCAGTAATGGCCCTCATTCTTCTCCCATTTACACCATGGGTTGCTGATACAGCTCCATTACACCTGATTTCTGCCAAGGGAAATGAGCCGTGAAATGGACCTCATGGGTCTCTAAGCTTGTCAGAAGCCAAAACCACATTCCACTCCTTACAAAGATATTGCCCCAAAGTCATCTCAGGTCTTTGTTGCAGTTACATTTCTTGATCCACTTGGAGGGAGTTTTGGTTTCTAAGCAAGATTGTCCTCCGCCCCAGAGAATCACTGACCTGTAGTTTTGTTACCACGTAGGAGCAAACCTCACCCTCCTCATTTTGGAATTCGTGGACCAAATCAATGAATCACCCTTTACCTTTCACTGTGCCTTTTAATCGGTGCCTTATAAATATTTAGCACATTTGTTCAACATCAACTCCAGTGTTGACCTTTTATGCAGAGTGGCCTTTAAAGAGAAGACTATTAAGGCTTTGCATTAATTCAGTGGTATTTAAAATAGAGTTGGCGCTTGCCTGTCAAAGTGCCCTTCCCCCGGCCCAATTATCACTCTCGGCTGTGTGCTGAATGTGCATTTCAGGCACTGTTAATCCAAGGGTTCCTTCCTTTTTTTTATCCCCCTTGTTCCCAGTTTCTGTAGGCTATGAATATGAATCATGTCCTGACCTGATCCTATGGGAGAAGAGGACGGCAGTGCTTCAGGGCTATGAAATAGATGCTTCCAAGCTTGGAGGATGGTCCTTGGACAAGCATCATGCTCTTAACATACAGAGCGGTGAGTTGGCTTTAATGGATGTTATGAGATGGATGCAGCCATGCAATAGATGTTAACTTTTTGCCTTTAATAGTTCAACCAAAAGGACACACATGGACACACATGCACATTACTGACAAATTAGTTTTTATAACCTACTTTGAGTGGCGGTTGCACGCACACACATCTGCAAGGAATGAGCTACCATTGCATGCATATGTTCCTGAAGCGCAGTGGTATCCCCAGATTTATAATGTTTTTGAAAGCAATGAAAAAAATGATTTGCGGGGGGGCGCGCTACACACCTGCAACATGTGTTTTTGGAATATAGGATCCACCATTGGAAGCCAACCTATACAAGCATACTCAGAATAATACCAGTTCTTACTGCCAGTGGCAAGAACTCGGTGGCCCCGTGGAGTGCTTCTTCAATGGTACTTCTCCACTATCCCAGGAGAGTAAATAACCAGCTTCAGAAGACTGCTGCACCCAAGTGCTCTACCCCATAATCCTTGTGACCTGCTACTCTGGTAGAGCTCACCTTTCTTGGAGACTGTCATGCCATAGATTGTTTTCCACATGAGTAGTGTTTAGAGACAAATGAGGTGGTCAACGCCATGGTGTGCCTCAGCATGCAGAAAGGCACTGCTGTGGTCTAACATGGGGAGACCACAGTCCGTCTTTAGACCAAACACGTGGATCAAAATAGGAACCTGCAGCACTGAGAGGCCCATGGATGGAAGGGGAAGAGGGAGGCAGCAGAGTCTTACAGAGCTGGAGGTAGGAAAGTCAACCATCACGTTGCAAAATTTCCACCTTTTGATAAAGGGTGGAAATTTTGCAGCATTCTGTATGGTAATCATGAATTACCTCCAGCTACCAACTGCCCAGCTAGAGTAAACTTTCCCGGTCTTCTCTTAAAAATAGCAGAGGTTGCCCTGGCTCTGCTGATAAAATCTGCCCATTACTGTCCCCGAATCTTCCTCTTCCTAAGTAAAAAAGCTGCCACTCACTATGTCCCTTGCCAACTGGCAGTCCCTCTAATTATTCTCTCTGTAAGAGACAGAAATAAAAGTCTCTGAACCTTCCTATCACCACATGGGCTATAAGGGTTTCTCAACTGAAGGCCACAACCCCCAAGGGGAACTCCTCGAAGCCATCAGGGGGTTGTGAGACATTGAATTGCTGTTCCAACTTAAGATAAAGAAAATCTCACCTGTCCTGCATAAATCTTACCCTTCAAAGGCAGCCTTTTGAAAGAGACACACACATAAATTATGTAGACCTGTCACTGTTACCACGATACGTGGTTTTACTCTGTAATAAATGGGAGAAGTGGGGACCTTTGTGACGTGGCAGCCTACATGACTCAGAAGCCTGGACACTGGGCTCTGGTTCCAGTGTGGCCCTGGTTGCATTTCATCATCTGGAATCAGGTACTGTCCCTCTTTGTCACTGTTTCTCCATCTGTCTCTAATTTCCTTATTGCTCTTATCATTTTCCAGGCATCTTGCATAAAGGAAACGGTGAAAACCAGTTTATCTCTCAGCAGCCGCCTGTCATCGGAAGCATTATGGGCAACGGACGCCGGCGGAGCATTTCCTGTCCGAGCTGTAATGGCCTGGCAGATGGGAACAAGCTCCTGGCTCCTGTTGCCCTAACATGTGGATCAGATGGAAGCCTTTATGTTGGAGACTTCAACTACATCCGAAGGATCTTTCCCTCTGGCAATGTCACCAACATACTGGAGCTCAGGTACCAGGCTGCTTGCAGCCGATTATAATTATTCACCTTTGGTTCCACATATTCTTATATACCCAGGGGGGAAATGAGAACAAAACTCTTTGTTTAAAAATAACAGAGCAAGCCAAATTCATCTCTGGTACAACTTCCCTGACTTTGACTTACACCATAGAGGTGCTGGACCTAATGAGCTTATCCAGAAGACTGATATACCCAAAATATTCTATTGCACTTCTCGCCAGCTAAGTCACACTGAGTTAATGTCTCCCCTTCAGTCTAGTTAGAGACTAGTGGGAATTCTAAAAATTAACAGTCAGCCTCCAGGATAATCTCATTTTAGAAGGACAGCACACTAATGATGATATGTAAATGGGACTCAGGACAGAAGGTCTTTCATACTGAGGACAGTGGGATCACCAAAGGTTTCCTGGTAGATTTTGGGGAGATGAACACACGCATTCCTGCATCCAATCCCCCATCGTGAAATGGGGCCTGGGTGAAGAGATTCTTCCCATCTCCCCTGCGGGGAGGAGAAGGACTGTCACTTGCACTAGCAGAGAGAAATCTCCCAAGGGGAATAAGGAGACATGCACAAAAGAGGGGAGGGAAGGAACATTTGGGGAGAAAAATGGCAGATCATGGAATTGTAGAATCATAGAAAGTTAGAGCCGGAAGGGACCTCAAGAGGTCACATCTAGTCCAACCCCCTGCTCAAAGCAGGACCAGCCCCAACTAGATCATCTCATTCAGATCATATCATCCCAGCAGATGGGTCATGTGTTCTGATTACATAAAATATCTTGTGGCTGAATCAAAATCTGCATGGGCTCTTTGGTGACATTTTCCCCCCGCCTTTCCATGACAAACACACAGCCCTGTTCAAGGCACTGACCCTGATTCTGATCTCCTGGTCCGGCTAATCAAAATGAATGCCACAAAGTCAGTCACATTAAATCAGCTAAGTGACATCTGAATCAGACTTTGCTGCAAAGGCCAGATCCAAAGCCCCTTGAAATTAATGGAAGGGCACCAGTGTGGATCAGGGCCTACACCGCACCTCCATAGCTGTATTGGGATGTAAACAGGCTTTTGGTGCTGGGGGTTTCACATGGATGGGAATGGCAAGATGTCTCCTTAGTGATGTACTTTGGTCAGAGCCCTGTGTTTGTTCGTCAAGTGTAACAACACGTTGCACACGCGAGGATAAAGACAGGTTGCTGCTGTGACACCAGCTTGCCTATTGACAGCAGTCTCTGCGTTCTTCTTTGTGCTTCAGCTCAGTGACCTCAAACACAAAGACTGCAGGATGTGATGTTTTACAGTTTTGTTTTAAGACACATGGAAGAGCCTTCTGTGGCTATAGTGCCTTGTGGCCAGCAGTTTCTTTTCATGCCAGTATCTCTGGTCCGATCCAATGGTTTGACATTTCTCTGGTTTCATTTTGTGCCGGAAAGTATTTCTTTTTCAAAACCGAAGTGTACCAAAAAAACCCAGCAGGCACAAAAAAGTATTACTCCCTCTGGGCACATATCTGTCCTCATTACAAAAATAGGTTCACTCTCCAGAGATATGCAGACACCTCCCTATTCCAACAATGGGAGGCACTTCCTTGTCCAAATCTATCAGATTTGTAAATCAAGAAATTGGAATTGGTCCAGCGGCCCCGTCTGGATTATAGTGCACAGCATCCTTCCTTTACTGAAAGGTTATTTTACTGGACAAGGATGTGTTAGTCTGAGGCAGCCCCAGACCCCTTAGCAGTTTCATGGGATTAGGATGCCATTTTGAAAATCCCACCCTGAGTTGTCTCTGCATTTCAGTCTCATTAGAAACACACTGCCACAGAGCATCAGCAGAACACTTCTTGATTGGAAAAGAGCAAATCAGAAACCTTGAAAGAGCAGCTTTGCCGATTTCTGCGAAAAGCTGCCGAGTGAAATGCGCTCTAATGTTAAGCTTCCTGGAACCAGCACAGCTTCATCTGTGCAGACGCTTAGGTTACTGGATCCAATAAACACTTCTTCACTCCGACGTGCTATAAACCGAATGGGTTCAGATGCAGGCTGCCTAAAAGCCATCGCTTTGGGTCTAAATGGATTTTATCTGTGCCTTCTCAAATCAGAGTTTCCTTTGGGATTAACGCTCTCAGCACTCCCAATGATATTTTTATTAGAGGGCAGCGCTCTGTTCTGGAGGGGGAAAGGCTGCTGCATTTTTGGCTTTCAGATAATTGCAGTGGGGCTTATGTAACCAGGCCCAAGAAAAAACAGGGAACCAGCCATGGTTGAATTCTCTGCTGCCGTGTTCATGAAGTGAAGGCAGTAAACATTAAATATGTTTCCTCTGAACAAAGCCACTGCTCAGCTGCCTTTGTGAATTAGGAAGGACCTCATTGACCAACAGTGACAAAAAGCTGCAAAGCTGGCTAAAGAAACAAACCTCCATCCTGACAGATTATTTTCCATGCTCTGTGTGTGTGTGTGTGTGTGCGCGCGCGCGCGCGCGTGCACATACACATGTGTGTGTGTGTGTAGCTGTTCATTATTTCTTTAAATAATAAAGTGTGCCTGGCCCCATCTCTTGCATAAGTGAATAGCTCTGTGCAGGTAAGATCATACTTCCTTTGTGATTTTCAGCAGTACGTAAGTGAGTTCACTGACAAGTAACATCCAATATCGAGTATATCAGTGTCATGCCTGCTAAGTCTTTATTTATTATTGCATTGTATGGTACAGTGACTGTCAAGTTTTCAATCTGCTAATAATGCTTCAAACTCTGCCGCTAACACCTCATTCTTTCTTCTATTCCCTGCTTTCCTGTCTTCTGTCAGAAATAAAGATTTCAGACATAGGTAAGCCAACCAGAGGAGAATTTTATGCCTTTCCTTGTCTTGTTGCCTGCTGTTATATGGTGAACAACAAGTGCCATTTCCAGATGATTCAATGGCAAATGAAGCCATTGTGATTAAAACTGATGTAGACAATCAATCATTAAAGCTGGAAGCTATTAATCATGGATCATACAGGACTCTGCTTGGGCTGTAAGAGTCAGAGCCAGTAGAAACACAGACATGAAAAGCAGGGGAACGGTGGGGAGGGAAGCCATCCAGCAATTGTAATGTGTGGGATTTTAACCCCATCAGACCCTTTGAGGAAGGGGCAAAAGAAGTAAAGCAAGGGTGCCATCCACAGACAAGTGACAGTTTTCCTGGTCGTGGTAGGAAGGCAATGCCCAGGATGTAAAAACATTGGACTCAAAATCTGCATTTTAAGCAGACTGCTCAATTTGGCCCTTTGCTGTATCCAACAAAATGAGTCCGGGATGGCGAATCAAAAGTTTCTGTAAGCTGGAGCATGGCCAAGAGCATCCACGTTACAAGAAAATATGTCAGGGCTCGGGTGGGAGATAACACAAGTCAAAATCTTTGCCGGAAAACTCAATAAAAAGAAAAAAAAACAGCAAAGAGGAGAAAACAACATGAGAAAGAGACTGCTAAATTGGAGCTTTGTCAATGAGAATGTTTGTCACTCAGATTCCCTGGAATCGCAGCGGGTTTGAGCCAATCCAGTGCATTCTGGAGGATGTCAACACACCATTGGCATCTGTGCTTGCAAGAACTTTGCTGGCTCCTGGTATATTCCTCCCCGCTACCCGTTCTCCCAAGATGTTTTCCAGATTAACAGCTTCCCGTTGGCATCTATTCCTTTTTTTGTTTCTTTGGCATCGGAAAAGCTGTGCAAAAATTAAACTTCTGTGCATGCCAGGGAAAACACAAACAAAACAAGGGCTTATTTTGTCCCATGTGTTAGTGTGTTTCATCTTTGCCTAAGCTAAAAAATGTCCCTTGGGCCAAGGGTGCTCAGCCCCTGCCCCGAGAGCCAGATCTGGCTCCCAGAGCCATGTCATCTGGCCCACAGGCATCCCTACGGGTCCAAAAATTTGGTAGTAGAAGAGTGGTAGCAACGTTAGTTGCTGCTCCCCTGCTTCCAGGCTGAGGCAATGCAGGGCCCGATCCTGGCACGTGGGTCTGGGTGAGGGTATCATGGGGCCTGATCCAGGCATACAGGGGCCAGCTGAGACCACACAGGGCCTGATTCTGGGCATGCAGAAGCCTGATTCTTGCACATGGGGACTGATCTAGCCTGTAGATTGGTTCTGTGCTACATATCTGGCCTTCAGAGCCAAAGGTTAGGCACCTCTGCCTTGGGTTAAATTCACCATCCCACAATCAGCCATCACAAAACCTATGCACTGCTATAATCCCACTGAGTCCAATGCCACTGGCCCTCCTGCTTGGGTGAATTCTGCCCTTTCTTCCTGTATTACTCATCCGTTGAGGACAATGGCAAATCTCCCATTGACTTCATGTAATCCCAGTTTGAGACCTTCACATCCTGTATATACAACCCCACAACAGTGCCGCCACCTGTAGCATGGAGGGCAACTGGTGATCGGCCAGCTGTATTGCAGGTTGTGGTAGGGGAAGCCAATATTTGAATGAAGGCTTACAGGGCAAACCAGTGACGTTATGAAAACTACTGTGGGCTCGTTCCTGTCCAAGCACAGCTGGCAGGACCTCAGCTTTCAAGTTCCCACCTAAAAAACAAGACAGGAAGTAAAGGAGCAAAAACCTAGAAACATCTGCTTTAATACACCATGAAAGGGGAAACGGAAGAGAGAAAGGAGATGAGGGGGTGTATGTGTCACAGTCCAGTCCATGGCAAAACTAGGATAGCTCTCGATCCAATTTAGGAGAAATTCTGAACAACCCGGTGTTCGGTGGGCATTAGGGAGTCTTCCACAGAGGAGGAAGATCTGGTTTGGCTCCAAGCTAATCGGTATGGTCTTATCTGTAGCTCTAGTGACTTAAATTCTCAATTCCAGTGCGCTCAGACTGTGGCAGTCGCCAAAAACAAGTCTTATCTGGGATTAGGATAGCTATGTATCTTAGACATGTACCTCCTTTATCCAGGGGAAATCGTTAGCCCTCAGTGTCTGTGGTGAGGGTTAAAGCCTTTTGAAGCCTGATGCATAAAAGACACAAGACTTCTAGGAGTATCCATTATGGAGCTTGGTCCCGAAACATAAGTGGGAAGTCCTGTGGTCAGTTCTCGGTGACTACTAGGGGTGTGCGAAGCGGGCCCTATTCAATTTGGATTTGGCCAGAATCAGGGACAATGATTCAATTTGTTGATTCAGATCACTGTCCCTGATTTGATTCGGCCGAATCCAAATCTGAAGGTTCGACGCTGATTCGGACAATCAGCGATTCGGCCATAGACATAGCTTTAAATGTTTTTTCTACACGCCTTGAAGTACCAGTGCAGCTCGTGAATGCTGCGATGCTGGGGCAGATGGAGCATCCCACAGGAGTGTGTGGGGGGAGGAGCCCTCCATGTGCTCAGTGGCAAACCCAGAAGTGGGCTGGATTACTTCTGGTCCACTTCTGGGTCCATCGGGGAGCGCATGGGGGGCCCTCCCACGCCCTCCCCCCTGCTTGGCGATCAGCCATGGTGGGCTGCCAGGTGTCCCCCCAGAAGGCACCAGTTGCCAAGCCAGAGGGGCGCAGGGGGGCCTCCTGTGCACTCCCCGGCAGACCTGGAAGTGGATTGGAAGTGCTTCTGGTCCACTTCCGGGTCTGCTGCCGAGCGTGTTGGGACATCCCCCCCGCACTTCTGCGGGACACTCCATGCACCCCATCATCGCAGTCTTCACAAGCCCTGCTACCTAGAGGTATGTCAAAAAAACATTTAAAGCTGTGTCTATGTCCAAATCGCCGAATATTTCCGAATTGCTCCAAATCGATTCAGAGGGTTCCAATTCAGAGAGATTAAAGGGTCCTCTTATTCGATTCAGATTCAAAGATTTGACCACCGAATCGGGCCGAATCCCTGCCAAATCGAATCAGGGACCGAAGCTTCGCACAGCCCTAGTGACTACCATGATTATAGTAGTTGTCTAGCACAAATTTTAAGTTATGATGGCAACCTGCAAAGGCCCAAAAGGCAGTGCTTGATGTTGCATACAAATTTACCTCCATTCATTCTATAATAAAGGCACAAAACTTACTAAGGCATCTGCCTCAGCGGATGAACAGCGTTGTGACAAGAAAAACCTGACCTTGATCAGCAATGGCCTTTCTCGGCAGTGATGGGGAAGCATTTAGTACTGTGTGATAGAGCTCTGCAGCATTTGGGGCTTGACCATCTCTTTGTAGACTGTGGGTATGGCCATGTGTATGGCTACAATAACACATACTGTCCTGTCCTCTCATTTCCCTTTCATAAAACCAACCCACAGACAACTGGCCATAAAAAGGGAAACTGGAGAACATTGTTGTAGGCTCTGATCAAAAGTCCATTGAGCTCCATGGATTGACTTGTGGCATTATTGTGTGGTCTTAGTCCAGCTGGTAAAACTTGAAAGCATTGATATCCACAAGAAACTCAAAGAGAACTGGAGAACCAAGTGTACATTTAGTTTGCTGCAACATGTACTGATATAGAGTGCATCATGTAATAATGTAATGTAATAATATATTAGTTGATGTTATCATGTAATAATATATTAGGTGCCAACCAGTAAAAAGAGCACTGGCTTCACACCAGCTAAAGTAAAATGGCCCCTCTGTAATCTGTAAAGTACTCGGCACAGCAGGCGGAAACCCAGCACCACCAAGATAAAAACTCCTGGCCCTGGGCATTCAGCACCTTTTCATTGATAGAAAACGTGTATGATCAGCAGTGCCCACAGCCACACTGGGAGGTCCTTAGACAAGGAGACAGAGGGGGGAAGAAGGGTAACTAGCATGAAGGAGGTAGCATAGCGATTATTTCATGTATTACAGGAGAGAGAAAATCTGACAAGGAGAGCCCCCTTCCTGCCCCACTTTGCCGTGTTCCTCCAAGTGTTACCAGATGCCTCAGGTCAGCTACCTGTCTAAGCTAGTTGGGGCTCATCCTTTGGGCAGACACACCACAAAGTAAGATCTGGTCCCCTTCCCAAGTGCCACTCCAGTCCTCTTCCCCTCCGAAATCTGTTGCTCTGCGTCCTGCCCTGTGTTCCCTGCCTGGTCTCATTTATACACATCCTTTTCTGTCCCACAATGTGCCAGAGATCCACCACTTTGGAGCAGACTCAATTAATCAAGTCCGCTCTGCACGTGAGCTGAGGCGAACTGCGCTGCGCCACGTGCAGTTGTGTAAGTGGAGAAATGCACATCAGCACGCGGAAGTGGCGGAGGTGCACTTTTGAACTAAAGCATCTCCGACATGTTTTAGTTCACAAGTGCACCGCCACCATTTTCTCAGCACTGATGCACATTTCACCGCTTATAAAACTGCATGTGTCATAGCACCAGGCACTTTTCAAAGCACCTGGCATTGCGGCGCTTGCATGTGTAAAAATGCCCTTAGGTACTTAAGACGTACCTGACCCTATCCTGTGCTGCTAATAAGAGGCATGGAAGAAAATCAGCAAAGGGAGGCTGGGGGTCATTTGAATCAAGACTCAACATAACGTGGGCATTTAATGAACCTTGTGTTTTCCCAAGGCATCATGGATAGCATCTGAAATTTAAAGAAGCTGTCTCGCTTTTGCTGTGTTTTGGAGCGCAAGTCTTCAGCTGATGTAAAGTGATATGCCTCCACTAGCTCTGACTAAGGACCTGACCTTTGATACTGAATAGTGTGCCACAAACTCTCCCAAGAGCCTGGCTAGGATTCAGCTCACTTGATTACTGCTTCTACAGATTATTCCTTTGGAGCTCTAAAGTACCACAGTGGCCTCACATGGTGTCCTCTGAACATGGGTAATTGCAAGTGGTATCAGGAAAGGTCTGAAATCAAGTCAAGGTGCTCACTCTCAGTCCATGGTGGCAGCATCACCACGGAAGACCATTAAGCTGATCTTGCTTAGTGTTATAGCTTATTCCCTTGGTCTGATTCTTACTGTTAGTCGCCTTAGAGAGTGCAAAGTGGAAAAGCTGTAGGACTCAGCGTGATGCCATGCAATGTAAACCAGTACAAATGAACTAGATGCCTCTTATTCCCTCTCCCTGATCTAAATGCATGGCAGCTGAAATGACAGAGGTTAGGGTAAGACCATTTCCAGCTGCATTTACAAGGGTAATATATGCCTCAAGAGCCTTTCACTAACCCCTTACCAGTTGAGCTCCAGACCAGCCTTTAAGTGATGCAGTTATTACCCTCTGAGCAGTGCTTTATTTAAAATAAATCTCTTTCTTTGCCTTTTCTGTGTTTCACTTATTAGTAAGTATAATAATGCTTCTGTGGCACTTATAGAGGATTAACACTAAATGCAGGCAGTCAGGTTTGTAATTCTGAATCTACACTGCATTAGCATCTGTGAAGTAACACTCATTTGAAGAAGCTAAAATCAGGACCTCGTCTAACCTCAGGTTACCAGCAGTTGCTATTAACATTACACTGATGTGACAGCCTTTAATGTCACAGTGAAATTAGGACAGGAACTGGCATTTTCATTTTTGTTTCCTTGCTCTTCAGCAACCATGTTGTTCTCACCCGCCACATGGGTTAGGATTGGGAACCGCTGTGGGGTTCTCTCTTATTAAGGAAGATATAGCAAAAAGACATCCTTGGTTATGAAATGCAAACTACCAGACTAAGACTATGAAGAGCAATAGCAATAACAGGGCAATGGAGGACTCTTGGGTTGTGTTGCTAGCTCTGTCACTGACTCATTTCCTCCTTGGGTCAATCAGCTGCCTCTGTTTGCCCATCTGAAAATTGGTAGCTCTAAGACTTAATTAAAACTCTTCTGGATTCCTAGGCAAAAGATGCTAAAGAATTGCAAAACCTTATTTATTATTAACATCCTCCTCTGTCCACGTTCCTCACATAGCAGTGATCCTGGGCAGCTCAAAGGCTGTCTGACATTCGGCTGAGCCTTGTGAAGATAGTCAGCTGAAAACACAAGGGCCTGATCAAAGTGGAACAGTAGATTCCCAAAGGAGACTTTTTTCCACCAGGGTTGAAGCCACTTGCTTAGTGTGAGTGACATGCAGGTAAATGAAATAATACCCTACCAGCCTGCTGTCATTGGAAAGGAATGCAGATGGAGACGGAGCTGCCAGGTTGGAGATGTCTTGAAGGTCAGAGCATTTTATTTAGCAAGAATCAGTGTCATTTGTAGAGATGAAATCTGTTCAGACTTTAATAGGATAAATCACAAGGGATGTTCTAGGATAAATCAGAAAGGCTTTTTTATTTCCCAGAGTGTTGGGTAATTTGAATAAAGAACCAACATCACTTTTTAAAACTAAGAAGCATGCAGTATTTAAAAAACAAAGGGGAGAGATTTTTTTTTTTAATATGGAGGGGTGGGGTCAGCATGACTACGGACAGACATTTCTGTCTGGCTGCATATAGAATAATGGATTATTTAATGTCTATTGAGTGCAGATTTGTCCTCCGTGTTTTGTAAATTTTTGTTCTTGAATTTATTTGTGGATCTCATGAGTTTGGAGATCTTCTGGATGCTTTGAGGAAATTGGAATATGTGATGGGAGAATTTTTCAGGCATGTCCTCATAGTTACCTAGCAGTTCTGAGAAGGAAATAGGATTGAGTTCATGGAGTAGGTATTATTAGTTTAATCTGTTGGTTCCAGGGCTCAGAAGAGAGTGTAAATCAATAGCTAGTGGTAGCAAACATTTAAGCGTAATAAAAGAAGAGATAATATTAAACCGTATATAGTTTCCTCCAAAGACACTGGCTTAAATAAATAAGTCTAAACTGAAGTCTGTTATTGTTTCTGGCTAATTCCATTCTGCAGTCTCTATTTAGGGGCCATTACTATATCTATTTCTGACTTTGGTCTCAGGACAATTTGGTGCAGTGAGCACTTACAGAAAACAAAATATTGCCTTTCAGTCAGTCCACGTTTTTTCTCACCCATCCTTTCCTGTTTTCCAGAAAGCACTGAATGAATGTGGTGACCGCAGAGGACTGGACACAAGGGTCCTCGGTTCTGTTGCCTTTACTGCCACTGGCTTGCAGTGTTACTTTGGCCAAATCACTCAATCTCTCATTTTAAGAGTTTGATTGAATGCCAGGGCAAAACTCTCCCTTACTTCCACAGGGGCAGAGTACAGCCCTTAAAGCAGGGGCGGGCAAATGCGGCCCGCGGGCCGGATGCTGCCCGCCAGGCCATTCTATCTGGCCCATGGGGCCCCTAAAAAATTTAGAAAATTAATATTTATCTGCCCTTGGCTGCCTGTCATGTGGCCCTTGATAGCTTGCCAAAACTCAGTAAGCGGCCCTCTGCCCAAAATAATTGCATGCCCCTGCCTTAAAGACGTTGCTCAAGAAAACAGGAGTTTTACTGTGGAGTTCAGAGGGAGGAGACTCAAACTCCATTTGAGTAAAGTTACTTTGCTCTTCAGTGTGGCCCACAGATCTCAAAGCTCTTTACAAACAGGTTGTTTTCTGTTCATTGCCACCATTTTACACATGGGAAAACTGAGTGACAGAGAGGGAAAGTGGTTTGCTGGAGATTAAACTGCAGTGACTCCCAGGCCAAGGCTCTGTCATCAGAACCTCGCTGCTTCCCCATAAGGCTCATGATTAGGGCCCTGAGAAAATAACGATTTCGCAGGCTGCATGGAAACCACAACGTTTGCCCCACACTGTGATTTTTAAGGGTCATGAGCATAGGTGGTGGGAGGCCAGGGCTAATAGGGCTTAGCCCCCACAAATGCAGGGCAGCCTGGGTGCGGGCTCTGGGCATCTGCGCCATGGGGGACGGGTGCGCACAGAGAGACACGGAGCCTGCAGGCAGCCGGGATTGCAGCCAGAGGGCGTGTAGAGCACTGCCCACCACAGCAGGTAAGTCAGGGCAGGGGAAGGGGAAGGGGAAGGAGCGTTGGGGTGTGCAGATTGAGGCCCCCATGGTGAGGGAGGGAGTGGGGCAGAGGCAGGGGCAGGGGTGAATGGGGCCCTGGGGCAGGTTGTGGGCTGCTCAGAGCCCAGGCAGCTTGTACACAGGTGCAGGGGGGCCCAGGTGGGTCATACAGGGGTGCGGGAAGGCTCAGGAGGCTGAACCTTGGGAGAGGCTCAGGGGGCATGTGCCCCCTGGATTTGTGCGTGGGGCAGAGGCAGACTGCCACTGTGGGCTGGGCTCTGCACCCCACTGCCGGTGCCTCGGAAACTGGCTCCGGGAGCCAGTGGCAGCAGGCGTGTGGTGTCACGCACAGCAGCTGCTCCCAGGGCAGTGGCAGCAGCACACACAGCCCAGCCCGCAGCAGCAGCCCACTTCCGCCCCACACACAAACCCGGGCGGCACGTGCCCCCCAGACCTCTCCCGAGGTGCATGCAGCTGCGGGAGCCCTTCCCCCCACGCCTCTGGATGAGCCAGTCAGGCTGCAAGTACGTCACGACCCACCCGGGGGCCCCATTCACCCCTGTCCCTACCTCTGCCCCACTCCCTCCCTCACTGTGGGGGCCTCCATCTGCACCCCCATGCCCCTTCCCTGACTTACCTGCTGTGGTGGGCAGTGCTCCACATGCCATCTGGCTGCAATCATGGCCACCCACAGGCTCCATGTCTGCCTGCACTTGCCCTTCCCTCCCCTGCTGCAGCCACCCGGAGCCCACCCCCGGGCTGCCCTGCGGCCCTCTGTGCTGCCCTACATTTGTGGGCGCTAAGGCCCGTTAGCCCTGGCCTTCTACTCTCTATAGCCGCATGCCTGCAAAGTATCATTTTTCATGGAACAACCAGGACCCATTTGCCGAGATCAATGACAGTTTCGTGAATAGTCCATGAAATATGATACTTTACCCACACACGTTGAGCATTTTCAACAAGAAATCCATGATTTTCTCAGGGCCCTACTTACGATGCACCCAAAATTAGTACTAACAGGAGCCCATGCAATAACAAAGAAAGCCCACTGGATCCGCCATATTAGTGCTGCGCATTGTCCTGCGGAAATGGATCCTGACATCCACCAAGGAAAATAACAGTCTTGTGTATTTGGTTTTCAGCCACAGCCCAGCACATAAGTATTACCTGACAACAGACCCAATCACTGGCTCCATCTACCTCTCTGACACTAACAGCCGGCGCATCTACAAGATCAAGTCAACCACAGCTGTGAAGGATATTGTCAAGAATTCAGAGGTGGTGGCCGGGACTGGGGATCAGTGCCTTCCTTTTGATGACACCCGCTGCGGAGATGGGGGCAAAGGCACCGAAGCTACACTGACTAACCCCCGGGGTAAGAAACCAGCTCTTCTTAGACAGTGTTTTTCAGAAATGGAGTAATAGGCCTGGAAACACAGAGCAGATAGGGCAAGTGTAACCACGACCACCCCACGGCCAACACATTATAGTAACTTAGCCTTGAGCAAGGGCTTAAACAAGGTCAAGTAAGTGGCTCTTCCCTAGGCACATTAAGTCCTTGTCCATTTTGGTTGAAATTGCAAAGAAGGGTTCAAGTTTGAGGATAATATTGTATACATAAGTCCAACGAGAAACAAACTACAATCCACCAGTCAGGTTTCAAACCCCACTTAGCCACTGAGTCATACTCAGGCAGCATGGTCAGACCAAGAGACAAAGTGCTTTAGAAAGACCATTCTTTACAGTTGATCCACTATAATATTTTCATCTGTCCTCTTTACTCCACACTAAGTGGAAGCTAAACCATTTTAACTTTCATCTGGTTTCACTGAAATACAAAGCTATGGTGGCTTAGCTCCACTGTGCCGAAATAGGAGCAGAGAGATTAAATTGTTTCAGTCAATCATCTGACATGCACTCCCAAGTGTAAGTTGCCCTGCCCCACTTTTAAAAAAAAATGTGATATTATATCTGCCCACACAGAGGAAGTAACAATTCTTGGTCTGGATTCAGTTCAATTCAGTCAGTTTAATGAGGCTTTTTTGGCATAAAAAAACGCTGAACAAATGTTACTACATATCAAATAGAAAGAAACCCACAGGTGCCTCTTCATATACCCCAGGGTTATATAAAAGTGCCTGATCTCTTGTGTTCCCTTTGATCCCAGCTTTGTCTACAGAAGAAATTTTATGTTAAATCTGGATAGTTAAACCAGTGCACAAGGCTACATGGATGCTAATTTTGATAGGAGTGTGTTATTTCAGTGTAGCTTGAACTTGTTTCTGATCAAACGTACCCCCAAAGCGGAAGAAGAACGGTGAAGCCAAAATAAAAACATCTACCCTGGTTAAACAAAAGTTAGTTTTAGCCAAACTAATGCAGTCTTGTGCGTAGGATTCAGATTGCCCTTAGACTGTCAAGCTCTTTCTACAGTTACCAGTCCCTTGAGCAATCCACTGCTTCTCGGGAAATCAGCTAGCGTCAGGGGGTGATAAACACAGGAAAGAAAGAGCTGCTGGAGCG